CACTTATTAATTTTCAAATAAAAAATATTATTAATTAATACTCTTACTGAAATTGAGGCAAGGTAATTATCACATTTTTACACTAAAAAGTTTATGTTAAAATTACAATTTTTACTATTTAGATATGTTGTTATTAATTGCTAATTATTTGGATTGAAATGGACTTACAATAAAACCTGGGGTCAATTACAAAACCTCAATTACAATTTTGATATGTTTTTTTGCATAAAACAGAAACAAGGCTTGCTTTAAAAAACCACAGTTCAGCTGTCATAGAAATATTAACAAAATTATTGCCAACAGGGTTTCTCACAAAGTAAACAGCAATACACTATAGTGCATGGCTTTTTCATAATAATTTTAAAATTAAAAAAATCAATTTTTATCTGGATTAGCGACATCAAAACACAAAAATTTTCCTGGCCGCTTTTGACAAACTCTGGCCAAAGATTGTGTAACATCTACATATCAGGAAAAATTCTAAAATGGAGAGTTCTTTTCTAGCCGTTTTTGACAGAATATGGCTCAAATTCATGTACATGGTCTCAGATCAGATTTTTGAGCAACTTTCAAAATTTATTAAAAAATCTAATCTTCATTTAACTAGATACACAACATCAAAACATAGATATGTATTTGTTACTGCACGGTACATGTATGTATGATCATGTAATGTAATGTAGCTATTGAGATAGATTGAATGCTTTTTGCCTGATTTGGTAGTCAGTACGTACATAGTACTATGACAACTCTATTTTGATAAAAATTCCTATTGCATGCATTCAGATTAGGCTTAAGCATCCATTACAATTACAATGTCGTTGTAATTAAGCTTCTAATTACAAATACAATTGTAATTGACCCCAAGTCTACTCACAATAAAAAATAAACCGTTGGTTGGTTTATACCTATATTACCTACTTTATCTAATTAGAACTGTGCTCAAAAATCTTTCAAAAATAAAAACACTAAATTCAATGCCAGGCAGTTAATGATTTTAACTGTACTAACAATGCCCATTATTGAAGTGCTTCACATGTGTGCCAGTGTATAAACTTCAAAGACACATATCACATACCCTGTAACAACATAGCTTCTTTTGATACTCTTTTTGTTTTTGCCATCATAAGTGTTCTTCTGTTTTCTAATTCTAAAAATAAAAAGGTACCGTATACGCCATATATTTTGTGGGAATTAGATTTTATGATTTTTGTGTTTTGAACAAATCTGCAAAATAGCATGCTGATTGTATAGTAGGTGTGGTAATTACATTAAAATCACAACATTTTTATTCACAACTATAAAAATGCAGCCAAATTGCAAAATTTTATACCCACAAAATGTATGGTGCCTAAGGTATATTATAACTACAATGATTAATGTATTTACTTATTATTTCATTTTCAGTAACTTTAATTGAACTTTGAATAATTTGTGCATAATAAAAATCCAAATCATCAATCTTCATTAATAATTCTCTTTGCTCCATACACATTTTTCTTACAATATCTACATGCATAAAGATATTCTTATAATGTTATGACTTAATCATGCATAATTACCTGATTTCAATGACAAGACACAACAATCATCTTTCATTCCTATATTCATTCCATTCAGATTAACTAAGTAACATTAAAATATTTTACCTTGTAACTTCTTAAGGAAATAATTATTTGTTTTTTGTTTCTTTTTAAGCATTATACTTTTTGTTGAAACTTCTGTGTCATGTACTAGCACTGGAATAGAATTTATATTTAATTGCAAATTCTAATTATTTTTCATGAAGTATTTAATGTTAAAATTATGACTAAATAAATATATTGTAACATAGCAATATTTTTATTATACCTGTATATGGCTGCACTTTACCAGTTTTCTTATCCACTGGCTCTACATGCATTGCCATTGATTTGACCTACATTTAAGATAATGATTGCATAGTATACAAAGCATTTGTCAAACCTTGGCATTTTGTCTTCCTGTGATATTCTTTTCTTGTTGTTGTAGCTATGAATTGTAATGACATCCATGACATGATACAAAAATTACACCATGTATATACCTTTTGTACCTCCCATACTGTACAGTATCCAACAGCAAGCTTCATTAAACCATTCTGAATTAGTACTTCAAGGCTTTCAATTGCTTTCATAATAACAACTCCAGCAAGAGAGTAAAAAAAGGAACATGTGACGGTGATTGAGTTCCCCTTGTCGATATACTTTATTTTCACTAGTTTACCAGTCACTTTTGATAGTATATCCATAATATCTTTCAGCACATGTTCCTTTGGCTCCCAGTCAAAAACAAAAATAGCTGTTTCACATTTCAGAGGAGGAGCAGCTTTCATAGCTTCAAATCCTTCACCACAGCACAATTCAATTGAAAAAGATTTACAAGACTCCTTTACCATTTCCTTGTAATCTTTAATGAATTCTTGAGCTTCATTGATCTCAAAGTAATCGACTACAGCTTCAAGAATTTCAACATCAATGAGACTACAATTCTTCCTTATTAAGCGAAGTATGGGACGCAGTGTATCAACCTCATTTAGCTGAGATTCAAGTTGAGAATCATAATTTTCTAGAAACATCTTCAATTCATCGATCAATGGATCTTTTTTTGTCACGGCGCGCTGTACCTTTAAAAACATTTTAGTAAATGACGCACGCACCGAGCTAAACTGAGGACTCAGGCTTCGTGGAACAGGAATGAGAACTTCTGCCAAAAAATAATATAACAGTAGTAATCATTCATGCATAATACCTTGTGTATTAGATGTCCCGTCAGAAAATGAAACTGGAGCTGATGATGCAGTTTCAGTATCACCTAGCATAAAAAATCATGAAAGTCATATAAAGTCTAATTATTTTTGGAGGTGCATTGTAACATAGATACCGTATAGCGGGAAATTTTTGTGGATTTTGTGGTTTTTTAAAATTCACAAAATTAAATCCACAAAAATCAATTTAATACAGTTCAAGATGGCCAAAAAGTAGAAAACCACAAAAATTAAAGCCATGAAATTGCTTTTTAGACAGATCTACAAAAATTTTGAGCCATGAAAATTTCCTACTATATGGTAATAGAGTAAATGAAGGGATTGAATATGGGTGCATGGGCATAACCCAACCTTCATTTATTTGTATTGTTACTAAGCAAACAGAGGTGGGTTGGGATTTTGTCACTATTCTCACAGCTCACGCTACTTTTTCTTCTTCAGGAGCAATATCTGGTGAAGGACTGTTAATGTTCTCATTTAAGTGAAACTGTTGCATCAAGAAGCCTAATGTTTCCTCTCAACACTACTATTACATGTATCTATTGTCGAGAAAATGATATATTTTTAATGATACAGCCCATTTTTCCTCTTAAAATGCCATTAATTTCATTATTCTTCCTTTTTCTCAAAATATGCTAACATTATAATCATATGAAAGACCTTACACTTTCCAATGTAATTATACAGGTTAGAGATAGAATCTATGAAGCATGAATTTGTTACAAGAGCTAAAGTGTACCAAAAAAGCTGATTTTGTTGTACCTATAACTAGTTGCAAAATGGTTTTACAGAAACAAAAACCTCAGTTGCTGCAGGTAGCTCTAAAAATTCTCTATGTGCTAATAGATCATAAGCAAGCGTTATCCTTAAGTGACACAATTTTCCTTTGAAATTTATGCAGGACAGCTTCATGAATGGAGGACATAATGGTTGTCATGTGGTAACCCAACTAGTGTTGTTCTAGTTCTTCTATACTAGAACTAAATAATTATTGTTCTGCTTAGTTCTAGTTCTAAAAACTAGAACTAGAACTAGAACTAATTTTTTTGTAGCTGAAATACTAGAACTAATACTAGAACTAAAATTATTTATTTGAAGAACTAGAACTAATACTAGAACTAAAATTATTTATTTGAAGAACTAGAACTCTATACTAGAACTAAAATTATTTATTTGAAGTACTAGAACTAATACTAGAACTAAAATTATTTATTTGAAGAACTAGAACTCTATACTAGAACTAAAATTATTAATCCTGAAATACTAGAACTAATACTGGAACTACAATTATTGAACCTCCTTAGAACTAGAACTAATACTAGAATTTAAAATATTGGTTACAAACTACTACAATAAACAGGTGAACATGTTTTAGGCAAAGCCTAGCGCCTAGCTGTTACATTTTTATATAAACTGTACCTGTGACATTTCGATCATTTTATTGGCAGCAGTAAAACTTATTACTTTGTGTATATTGCATTTCATGTACATGTACATTTGAAACATAACTCAGCAATATAACAAAAAAGATTTTAGTTAAGAGCTACTAATAGTATTTAAATTACTCCAATTTTAGCATGACTTAACTGGAACGTAAGTATTGGAGGCTTTAGTTCTAAACTAATACTAGAAATTTTAGTTTAAAGAACTATAACTAGAACTAAAATAATAGTATTTTTAGTCAAAAAACTAGAACTAGAACTAAAATACAATTCCATACTAGAACAACACTAAACCCAACCAGCATTTCCTGTTGATATGTCCTGTTTCCAATCCCTTTCATTTACTCTATTATCTATGGTTGTAATTAGAAAGCTCCATTCTGTTCTATCAAGAGTCCATTATATTATGGACTCTACATTGCTATATGAAACTGTAAAAGCACTTCCCCCAGAGTACTCCTATACCTATCTAAACAATGTGACACCTGAGACTTGTAGTTATTTATCAAGAGGTGTGTTACAGTGTTAATAATAAGATAGATAAACCTAAATAACAACTGCATACTGTATTAATCAAGCATTTAAGCAGTAAAATTATTACTTACTTTCCCAAACTACTTGACTATCATCTAAGAATTTATCTGCAGTAATCATAATATAATTTATCATGGTTATACAAGCTCACCATATCCTTTGTGGATATTATTTCCCAATTTTGCATTAAAAGGGAACTTGCACAAGACACTGGCAAATGTCTCTAGAGA